GTGTTTAGTCCAAAACTAATAATTATAAAACATCAATGACAAATATATGAACAAAGAAATTGATTTTTTTATTTGATTAACGTGAAATATCAATTGTTCAATGTCGCCTCTTCAACATAGGCTCATTGGCAAGGATAAATATGCCTTAGAACCTTGATGATAACACTGAAACGCACATAAAGCGAGGTGAAGCGCTCACCACGTTTTAAGCCTCGCTTTAGGGCTTAAGCGTGCTTTAAGCGCGCCTTTGACAACACCGATTAGCTTCTAAATTCCTTAAACCCTTCGAAGGATGGGAAGGCATGTAAGAGACATGCAGCACACCACACTTGTTGGAGGAGATGAACAGAGGGGAAAAAATAAACTCGTATCCAGAGGATGAAGCAGGCAGGAGGAAAGAAGTTGGTAATGAAATTCAAACAGAAAGAGAAGAGGAAGGTACAGGGGGCCACAACATGCAAAGATCAGAAGGAAACCTCCAAATCCAGCAAATTCACGATGCAGAACCAGTGAATATCCAAACCCCCTTCACCCATGAAGAAGCCGAATCAGACGCTTCGAACTGGGTCAATTCCCACATATTGGAACTGAGCAACACTTACGGGGTTTCTTTCGAAGGTTTCAGAAAAGAAACTTTAGAGCTCCTTATGAAAATTGATGAGAGGAAATTTGTTCTAGATAAAAAGGGTCAAGCAAAGACAACCTCAACTACAAAAAGCAGAGGCATTGGAAGAATGAATTAAAGAATTTAAAGTCCTGTTTGAATGAAGAAGTAGGAGGTGGTGGGAACAGGGGGAGAAATCTAAGCTTAACTTACCAATGAAAGTTAACTTAGTCACTTGGAATGTAAGGGGACTCTATAAACCTAGCACCAGAGTTCTGGTGAAGAACTTACTTCAGAAATGGAAAGCAGATGTGTACTGCTTCCCGGAAACAAAGTTGAGTTAGAACATAGAAGATATTGGTAAACAGTTATGGGCTTGTAGATGAATGCGATGTGGATTCATGGAAGCAGAAGGTAGTGGGGGTGGGGGGGGGGTATTTTGTTCATGTGGGACAGCATGATATGGACCGGAAATCAGATTGAAATGGGGACACCATTTCATCACGTATGAATTCATATCAACCCAAACTTCTTTCAGTTGGTACCTCACTAGGGGTGTATGCTCTTCATACCAGGGAGGAAAAATTGTTGTGCTGAGAAGAAATATCAGCAACCAGGGAGCTATGTGGTGGGGGACACTGGGTGGCTTGTGGTGATTTCAATACCAACAGAACCATGGGGGAAAGAAGAGGGTGTAATAGAATGACAAATGTGATGACTGACTTTGCTCAATGGATAGAAGATATGGAGCATCATGATCCCCACATGATTGGAGGGAGATACACATGGTTTAGGGGTCCAAATCATCCTGGTGCAGCTAGACTAGACAGATTCTTCTTCTCCATGGAATGGGAGGAGACCTTTAACAACATCAGGCAAAAAAAATCGCCTAAGGTAATGTCAGATCATAGTCCAGTCTTACTGGAAAGTGGAAATTGGAGCAAAAGAGGTCAAACTTTAAGTTTGAAAGTTGGTGGCTAAAGGTGGAGGGTTTCAATGAGATGGTACAAAATTGGTGGGATGAATTCGTAGTACAAGGTTGCCCTGATTACAAGCATAGTAGCAAACTAAGGATGTTGAAACATAAACTTGAAGTCTGGAGCAGAGCTACTTTTGGGGAAATGAGAAGAACAATTTGCTTGAAGAATTGACTAAACTTGATTTGTTGCTGGAAAGTAGAGAACTATCTGAGAGGAGATGATGGTGAGAACAACAATTGTAGTTGAACTGGGGGAGTTGGCCAAGAATGAGGAGTCCAAATGGAGACAAAAATTCGGAGTCTTGTGGCTAAAGCAAGGTGATAACTGGTGCTCCCAAATGCACACACAAGTGTACGTGGTCGCAGAAGTAATTAATGACTCTTTTAGAACCGAGTTATCGAACCCAAAGGACTTGCGATCAATTTATATCAATTCTATTAGTTCCACAATTTAAAGAAAGTATTTTCACAAACTTGTATTTTATTTAATATTACTATTGCGAGTAATTGAATTATAAAAGTAACTAATAACGACAACTTCAATTTCGGTGATTTAAACAATTAAGGGACAATTCTAGGGCTGCAACATGCTTAAGGTTTCATGTATCACATTTCATGCATGAATTAACTATGGTTATCGAATTACTGATTTACGAGGTTGATTTTATGATCATGATCTCTCGACCTCTAATCGCCCACTCCAATTGACTGTCTAACTACATCGTTGAGCGGGTATAGACATGCTCAATTGGCGAGCATTTATATTATATCCTGTTTTGTTCGGTGATTGTCCGAGTGTCAATCCTAAACACGAATTTGAACAAGTGATATGCAAGAGAGATCGAGCTCTTTGTATTCTTTGGTCTATCTGCCTCTCCGTCTCTCGAGTTCAAGAATAGACAATATATTTATCTCAATGGTGGCCAATCATGAAATATACTAAAATAAGGATACAAAAGTAATTTAAGCGATAACCAAGATTAATTCAAAACAATCGATGTTTAACAATTACCTGTAGCTACAACCCCAAAACAAAGGCTTTTAGCCACTCATAATATTCAGCCTTGATTTTTGTCGTGCTCGTTTCCTTTCGCTCCCATCACCTCTATTTAGCTCATAATCCTTTAGGAAACCCTGCATATGCTAATCATGTAGGTTAGTGTGCATTCATTGCTATAGTCAATCAAAACTATCAATTATAATCAAGCACGTCCTCAAAACGTAAGGCATATATAGGTAATTCGTAGTAAATGGGCGTATAAATACGCCCAAGATCACCACCCAAACTTAAGCTTTTGTTCGGCCTCGAACAAACTCTCGATTCTCAACTCATCATTCACGCCTTTGGACTCATCTACCCGTATTAAAATCAACCATACACATTTAATCATGCTTTTGTAATCCACACTTCATGCAACAAATTAACAATGTAGTTCACATTTTAGTATACCAATTAACACCATATAGCCTCAATGAATGACTCTTCAAATAAGAACACACCAAAGTACAATTCACCCAAATGTGCATCATGAATGCCCTCTTTAGTATAGCTTTTCACTCATCATGTTTGTATATTGTATTTCAAACCAAAGCCTATTTTTCAAAGTCAAACTTTCACTCTCACAAATGATGTTCTTACATATCCTAACATAGCATAGGCTTGCCCTTAGTGTACTTTAACTTTCACAAAGCATTAATCATGGAATCAAGAAGACTTAAATTTGGTTGTCATGGGTAAATTTTTCACCTCCCTTTTATAATTTTACCACAAAAAACATTTCCACCCTACTTCACTTCTACCATTGTTTTCATTTTGCTTCTTGACATAAAGATGAACTTTTGGATCAAACAAAGCCATGATATCAATAAAAAGAGATTCGGCTCAATATGTGGCTAATAACAAAAAAATAAAGGTTAAAAGTCTCAATGAGGCTAGCATCCTTTGATGCTCATGCTATCATCACCACCTGGGCTCCACAAAAATTTACAATATCATTAACTATTTAAATTCAAACTAAATAAAATTGTCTTATACTTGAGGGAATGATTTTTACTTTTATTCATCCTGTTTAACAATTTAATAGATAAGTTTGTACTTTGTTCCTAATTTATTCTTATTCAAAACATTGGATTAATTACATTTAAACAATGATATAGTAAAATTGTCATTTTATTTATTGTTCATTAAGGGCAGGGTCGGCTCTATGCTTTGATTTTTAAGGCATATGCCTTAGGCGGGGTTTCAAATTTTTAATAAGAATAAATTATGTGTTAATTTTTTTCATAGAAAAAATTTATTATACCTGATAAAAATTATTTTTTAAATATATATATATATATATATATATATATATATATATACCCATTTTGTTTTAATTCTCATCTTTATTTATAATTTGTTAATGTATTAACTTATAGAATTATGTCCACAATTCATATAATGATTGTCTCAGTGAAAAGATGTTTTTCAATATTGAATTCATAAAATCTTAGCTAAAACTAATAATTAAAAAAAGATCAAAAAATCATTTATAATAAATATTAAGTAATAATTTTCATTTAAAAAGTGTAAGAAAAATAAATTTTAAATAAATACATATGAAGTTTGTTTAGATTTTAGGCCTCTAATTAAAATTTTGCTTTAGGCCCCCGGTTACGTTGAGCCTCCCCTGATTAAGGGCTATGCAAAGTCGGACATATAAAAATTGACAAAGGAAAGCACTTGTTTAAAAGCTGAACTTTTCATGTTATTAGAGAACTAATACTCCTTTCGTTTTAATTTGTTTGTTTGATTTTGACTAGACAAAGAATTAAGAAAATAAAGAAGACTTTTGGATCTTATGATCTTAAACTTAGAAGTATGTAGAATATATCAACATGTTCTTTGATCTTGTGTTGTTATGTGGAAAGTTAGAATTAGGAAGCTATCAAAAAGAAAAAAAAATCATTTCTAATTATTATAAAAAAATATTAACTCAAGGTCGATGTTGGGTCCGTGCATAGCACGGGCTCCTCCTAACTAGTAATGGATATTCAATAAATGGCCACATTGCTGACACCATCTCTGTAAGAATTTAGTTTGTGTATTCTGAATGCTTAACTGATCGAGCAAGAATTGAAGAAATTGTTTGTTAATTGGTCGATGGTGTACTTCATTTATGAATTGAACAAGAACTGAACAAATTCTGAAATGTGTATACTAAAGTGCGGTACAGGTATACTCTATTTTTGATAGCTTTTTGGTGTTTTTAGAAGGTTGAAGTACTATACGACTCTTACACCTTAATGAAAATGGTATCAACACAGATGAGAAGTCCACATAATATAGTTTGGCCACAATTTTGTTTCCTTGATATGTAAATCATTTGAAAGGTCCTTCCATTAAGTTTATTCCTCTGGTTGGCTGCTTGGTTGCAGGCACTAATTGCTGATTTTGAAGTGTCAGAAGGGATTTATTCTCGGGCAAGAATTGAAGAATCTGATTCGGTGTGTCTATGGCTTGGGGCAAATGTCATGCTGGAGTATTCATGTGAAGAGGTATCTGTCTGGTAGTTGAAACGAGACCTTCCTGTAGCCTTGAATACTGTGATATTTGTAGTGCTAATCAAGAGATATTGTTGCATGTTTGATGGAGCAGGCTACTACCCTTCTTAAGAAAAACTTGGAAAATGCAAAAGCCAGCTTAGAAGTTCTTGTTGCCGATCTACAATTTTTGAGGGATCAAGTGACAATCACTCAGGTCCATTCTGCTTTAACTCTTATGTCGGACTATAACTTGGGCAGTGTTTCGCTGGCAATAAATTGTCTTTACATTCTAGTAGTTGGTTTTCATTTACTTCAAACTTGTGTTGCATATGCTATGCTATGCAAGAAAATGATATTGCTTTATGTCCAAAAAAAGAAATTGATTTGTAAATACCTGTGAATGCATCTAATGTTAGAAGTGAGCAAATTTTTGAAGCAAAAGCTTTTAGTAGCTCAAGATCTTACTTTTCAGATTCCATTGTGGAAGTGACAATTTTTTCTGAAGAATTCGCCATAATATATACCTAATGGTATCAAAAGCGTAAAGCACAAAACTACTCTAATGTTTGTTGGGGCTTTAAGTGCAAAAAGCAAAAAAAGGGTGGGTTTTATTGAGAAAAGGCGCAAATGGAGAAAACATACAAATATATATATATATATATATATATATATATATGTTTAGTCCAAGACTAATAATTATAAGCATAAATAACAAATATATGGACAAAGTAATTGTTTGTTTTTATGATAAAGTGAAATATCAATGCTTTGGCGTCACCTCTTCAGGAAATGCTCATTCACAAGGAAAAGTATGTCTTAGAGCCTCGATGACATAAGTGAATTGCACATAAAGCAAGGTGAAGCGCTCAATGCATTCTGAGCCTCGCTTCAGAGCTTAAGCGCGCCTTTGATAACACTAGATATACCTAATCCATGCATAATCTATCTATATTACTTCAAAAACATGGAAGTTCCTTCTCAAAGAAAAAAAAAACATGGAAGTCCTGAGAAATGTTGATTGAACTTTTTGCCCTTCATTAAAAGACACTACTATTGGCAAAACTATCATTTACTATTTTCCTCAAATAATTGTCATTTAATTGTTGTCCTAATATTTTAGAACTTCGAAATTAATTAAGTTAAAACTATTAAATCTCTACTTATTTGTAAGATAAAAACTAATAAAATTGTCTAAAATTTGCTTCTTAAATCTCTCCTTATTTGAACTATATTAAAAGTCATAACATTTAAGACTTCAAAATCAATTACAATTTGGTTAATTTATAGCAATTATTTCAATTCTTTTTATACGTAATATGACTTTTTGCATGGACTTCTAATACTAACCAAATACCAATTTTCTAGCTATTGTTGACCCTTTTTTTTTTATATAAAAAATTCCAACAATTAACAAAAAAATATACTTTACATAAACAAACAAACAAACAAATGAAATTCCTTATATGAATAGTTCCCTTATTTTGTCATTCTCATCCATCTCTTCGTCTCCGTAGATAATAGACCCAAGATGTAGTTAGATTTCTTAATTACGAGAAAATTCTTGAACAAATGAAATATATTAAATATGAAAATATCACAGCACACTACAATTCTTCTTATATCTAGAAGTAAAACTGAAAATTTACAATTCAAAATTGATATGGATTACCAACTTTTAGAAACTCTTTCGCCATTGGTAATTTTTATAAAAGAAGAGTATCTATACTAGTATAATGAATATAAGTCTAATAGGCGAGATACCCCTTTTAACCATGTGTTGAGCCTTTAGAAACAATATTACCTTCCTTGGATAGGGAGTGAGAGCTAAGTTGCTCGGACTCTTTGTTTTTTGTGCCACATCCGTGTCGACACGACATGGGTGTGGGATTCGTGTCCGATTTGGTCAATCGATTTTGGGTACTTTGACCAAAATCGATGGGGAAAGTCCGGACGGTTTTAATGATTTCTGTAATCAATACAAAAGCTAAGGTGAAATTGAAGAAAATGGAATATCTTTTATATAGTAATTTCTATGTCACTCCTTTTCCTTTAATCTCCTTCCAGGATTCTCCTCATGTTCTCCACATAATATCTCATAATTTAGGTTTTATAACTCTATTTTTATATGTTTTAATTATTATTAGGCGAATCCCCGCACTTGTATCCATACATGGATCCATATCCCCAAATCTTAAAAAATAGATAATGGAGGATCCGACCTCTAGATCCACACCCGTATCGGTCACCCACACCCGAGTCTGAGCAACTTAGACTGAGATTGCCCTGCCACTTCAGTTTAAGAATATCCCACATATCTAAGGTCATTGTCTTGGCGTAATGATCTAGAACTGCATGATAGGGAGAAAACCAATCAATACCCAATATGATGTCGATATCTACCTTATCCAATATAATTAAGTCTACCCACGTGTCATGTACATCCTAGTCAACCACACAAGATTGATGTAATCGATCCAACACTAAGAACCATCTATGGGTGTAGAATCATGTACAAACATAGGGAGATTGACAAAGCATATCCAAATCCAAAACAAAGTACGTAGGTACATACATAAAAGGTTGTAGATCCATGGTCGAATAAAATTGTAGCATGTCGGGAGCATACTGAAACAATACCTAGGAAAATCCTGGTTACTCCAATAGTGTTAGTTATTTGCCGATGTAATAATCCCAACCACCATTGCATTGGTCCATGGTATGCAGGCCTATTCTTAACTACTATATGCACGTCTCTATGAATGTTTTCATATAGCTTTGTATAAGTATCCTTGCCAAAATCCTTTAATTAAAGAATCCTCCTTCCCTCTTAGTTACAAATAATATTACAGATCCTCAATTCAATCTCCAAACATCTTATAACTTAAATTCGTCAATATCTACCATTGACTGCCACTTTAAATGTTCTTGTTGTGTAGTACCCAACTTAGCCTTTCAATATCAAACGAATGCTATACCAACGTTGCCATTATGTTACCCAACTTAAACTATTCAAATTTTCTTTAGTACTTCTCAATGTGCCTCAGATGCATCAAGTCAAATCGGACCACAACCATCTCAACACCAAATCCATATGAATGCAAATGAAATGCAATGCATTGACCAAAAACATGTATACACCCACTTCCTCATTTTGGAGAGTCGGGATCCATGGGACTTATGCGGTCTATATACCCTGTCGAAACTATTTCTCATCAACACAAACACCGGTACAATTTCCCATCTGCATAATAGCACTCGTCGGAATCATTTTCTATCGACTTTGCATGATGTCACTGGCCGGAAATATTTCCTATTTGCATAATATGAATAAAAATCACAAATAGCTCAATGGGCAATATTAACCTTTACTTATCATGCAACAATAAGTATGAATATGTATGAATAAATACATAACATGAGTTCATCAATCGACCCTACAACCAAGGATCATATGTCTCCTTTCCTAATTTTGCTGGCGATGGAGGGTATTAATCATATGATCAGGACAACGAACGAAAATGAATGGTTCAGAGGCTTTGTGGATCCCAAACAAATGCTGGGGATGGATGTGAAATCTCTCACTTACTATATGCCGATGATTCTCTTGTTTTTGTGAAGCTGTAGTGGAGCAGATGAGGCATCTCAAGGAAATCCTATCTATTTTTAATCTGTTTCTGGCTTTCATGTTAATTTGAACAGAAGTTCCTTATTTCCAGTCAATCAAGTAACAAATTTGCAACTTCTTGCAAGAAACCTAGGATGCCAGATGGGGACTTTCCCAACTAAATATTTGGGGATGCCATGGGGGCTAAAAATAAGTCAATAGAGATATGGAACGAGGTTATTGAGAGATGTGATAGAAAACTGGCCCAATATTTATCCTTAGGAGGAAGACCTACACTTATTGACTCAGTGTTGGATGCCTTTGGCAAGGCAACAAAGTGAACAGAAGCATCAACCTGGTTAACTGAGAAGCACTAACCTTACGCAAGAAGCAAGATGGTATGGGCATCAAGAATCTGTGGCTGCACAAGAAGTCTTCTACAAATATGGCTATGGAGGTTCAGCATGGAGGTTTTAGCACTATGTAGAAATTTCATCTCATAGAAATATGGAATGGAAAACCAATGGATTACAAAAGAAGTCAGAAGCCCTTATGGTTGTGGTGTCTGGATAACCCTTGGCAATCAGTGCGAGTTTTCTGGGACAAAGTAGAGATCACAGTGGGTAATGAAAGTAAGACTGAATTTCGGGAGGATCAATGGATTGGTGGTCCCAGTTTGTAGTCCACCGCCCCTGTTCTATATATATTAAGTCTCCAAAAACATGCTAAGATAGATCAAGTCTGAAGTGTACAAGGTTGCGACTTAACTTTCAGAAGAGCTTTCAGTGACTGGGAATTTGAAAGTCTTACCTCAATGCTTCAGCTCGTGGATACTTTTTGAGGAATTACTGAGAACATAGACCAATTTAAATGGAGGTTAGACAGGAAAGGAGAATTTTTAGTCTAGTCTGTCTACTACAACATGAACCACACAAGTCATCAAAATGTGTCTTGGCCTTGGAAGCTTATTTGGAAAGTCAAGGGTCTACCAAAGGTATCATCTTTTGTTTGGTTGGTGATGAAGGCCTAACTCAAGATAAGTTACAAAAAAGAGGTCTTCAGATTTGTTCAAGATGTCTCTATTATGTGGACACAAAGGTTAAAGTAATGAGCACCTTTTCCTTCATTGCAAGACAACTATAAATTTGTGGCACATGTTCTTTAGTATATTGAGGATAAAATGGATCATGCCCAAGTCTACGTTGGAGCTTTTGCGAAGCTGGAAGAATGTGGTGAGAAGCAGTGATAGCATCCATGTCAGCCTACTTGTTCTAAAGTTGACGGGCATCAATACAAAATCAAGAATATGTTTATCACGAAAGAGGTGTCCAAATTCAATCCCAAAAGAAAGAAGATTGGGCCACACGAAGCCCAATAAAAGAGTCCAAAAAGCTGAACACTTAAAGTCAAAAGTTTCTATTTTAAAAAGTTTCCTAGTTTAAAGTTTTCCTAGTTTAAAGCTTTCCTAGTTTAAAAAGTTTAAAGTTTCCTAGTTTAAAAGTTACCTAGTTTAAAATTTTCCTAGTTTAAAGTTTCCATAAATAAATCCTATTTTATTTGGGATAGGTTTTCCCTATATATATGGGTTGATTTTATTATTCTGAGATAGACATGATTAATATTATTTGAGAGGTTTCTCTTCTTTACACGTTTGTGTGTGGTGACTATGGATTTATCTTACAACTTTATAAGAACGATTCTTTAAGAGGTAAGATTAATTTTTAATTTGATATCTTTGGTTTCTATTCGTAAATTAAAGAAGGTGATTAGTCTTATAGTAATTGTTGTCTCTAATTTCTTCGTAATAGGGGTCTAGATCACTTTTGATCTAAGTTCTTGAATTGACTCTATTAGTATCATAATTAGTCTTAATCCGCTAATTTTGAATACTAAGATTAATTAGGGTTCTTAGCACTTTATCTTGAAATTTGAGATTTTATTCTTGAATTTCACATATCTTTCAAAATTTGTCTTTAATCTTTATAATTTCACTTCCGCATTATTTTCTTGTTTATTCTGGTAATCCGATTCTTATCAAGCAGCACCGAAGAGGAGTGGTGGCAGGTATTTCCTGCTTGCATTTGGTGGACAGTTTGGAAAGAGAGGAACTCTAGACATTTCGATGACACTAGTAATTCCATCTAGAAAATTAGGTTGATTTGCCTTAGTTTGTTCTTTATTGGTGTAAACAAAATATGTGGGGGGGGGGGGGGGGGATAGGAGAATTAGTAGATTTAATTGGCAATGTATAAGCTTGTATGTTTTTTGGATAGAAGGCCCCTATACTTTTGAATGTTTGTAAAATTTCGACAGCTTCGCATCTCCTTGGAAGCTGAGTTTTGGTTATTTACACAAAGTTCTTTAAAGTTGTATAATCATTAATATAGGTAACATGCGCAGAACGTGTAGTATCATGAAAAATGGATACAAAATTTTGACTTCTTTGTATTGACAATAGGTCTGAAAAAAATATCTAAAAGTATCAAATTTAGATATTTGTATCCTGTCAAAGTAAGGAACCATGACATATATGTTTGGAATAGATTCCATCTTGAGAGAGTTGAAAGAGCATCTTGTTGTTTCTTTTGTTTATTTTTCACATCTGCATAATTTCAGCAACCAGGTTGTTGCTATCTTTTACATTTTGCTTATTGTTTAAGCTGCTGTGTCTCAGGTCACGATTGCCCGAGTATACAACTGGGATGTGCATCAACGCAAGTTTCGACAAGCTGCCAGTCCAAAAGAATCGTTATAAAAATCTATGTACGTGGTACTCACTTTTGCTGCAAAGAGTACGAGTTAGATCTTTGTTCATCGTTTTAGGTTTGCTTGCTTTGCACTCTCCTCTAGCAGGATCCTGGATTATTATTCAGACCATCAGTTGTTGGGCTTGTAGCAATTTTGTAAGAAAGCAAATATTTATTGGTGAGTCTGTGTATTTACTAGATGGTTAGGAGCAAAAGTATAATAATACAATCTGTCTAAAAAAAAAAAGTATAATGATACAATTGTTTACAAAGATTGTCAAATTGTGGTATCACCATGTTATATTGTTTCTTTAGGGGGCTTGTCTCTTGTCATTGTACTCCAAAGAGATGAATGAGTAGCTCCAGTTTGCCTGACTTTATTATCTCAGTTAAATGTTCACCATAGGTAATATCTACTTGAAGTTATAATTCATTTGGAGATTATTCATAGTTAAACATGCTTCATACATAACAATCCTACCAACGGGGGCAAATTTATAGAGGAGACTATGGGGAACGTGAAACCATGGTCTCTCCGTAAAATTAGTTGGTTAATGTATAAATTTTTTGAAATTTGTATAATATTAACTATTGACACTCATGTTCCAAGAAGGTTGAATAGTGTTTGGTTGAAGGTTGAGTTATACCAAGAGGAATAGGGATCAATTCTCACTTGATACATTTTCCTCTTCTTTTAGTAGTGCACCCACGTACTAAAAATCCTTAATCCGCCTCTGCCTGCCAAGAGATATATTCATTAAGTTTTCAATGTCTTCGACCTTTTTGGATGAGTTTCTACCGAAAGGTTGTAGCAAATTCGACTGTAAGAACCAAGGATGAGGTGAAATGACAAAGGTTTTTGTTTCCTAATCAGAGATCTTAAATCAGAGTTCTCGAATTTGACTCTGGAATGGGGTTCTCCTTTACGGGGAGTGCTTGAAACCCCTCTAGCTGGTTTTCTATGATGCGAATGTAAACGACTCGGCCTAATGGGTTTTGGACATCAGATGGTAAATCAAAGGGACAATAGATAAGATGGTAAATGAGCATTATAGTTTCCCCTTCCTGTTCTGCAAAGGACAGAGATAGGGGTGACAATTAGGTGGGTTGAGTGAAATTTGGACCAGTGTCAAGATAACAAATGGGTCAAGGCCTTACCCAACCCAAATTTACTTGGGTCAGGTAATGGGCGAAGATCCTAACTCAAACCAATTTTTATGAAGTTTAATTGTTTTATTTACTCTTTTAAAATATTTTAGTACGTAATAAAATTATTTTTTCTTTATTATGGCTACATATAACATATCAAATTAAACAAAAAGTTTTTAAAAAATATTTTGACAATATTTCTCATGAATCAATTTTGAGTGGGTTGAAATGGATTGAGCTTATCATCGGCCCAAACTTAAACGGGTTAGGCGGATTGAGATTGATTTTGCCAACCCATAAAGGTGCCCATTTCCCAGTCATGACAGTTCTCCTCAAGGCTCAAGCCTATGTGCCCCATGTCAGACAGAACGAAACAGGGATGGGAGTCGGGATGGCAATAGGACGGGGCAGGGAAAAACCTTAACGGGGTAGGGCAGGGGAATACTTAAATAGGGCAGGGCGGGGTAGGTTAGGGTAAAACTCAATCTGTGAAATAATTTTATAGGACAGGGCAGGTAACAGGTCAAAAAATTTCAACAGCAAACCATAAAATAAAGTAAACAATTTTCCTTCAACTTTAGAAGCCAATCTGTTGTCTCATGTCTGTATACTCATACGTTAGCTTCCTGCAAAAATGTATAGAAATGAGTCATAAAATACTTTTACTCTTCAAATACAATAATTAAACGTAAAATGTGACCAGTAACATAATTTAAAACAATAATTAAAAAGAACCATAGAGGAATATTTTAGTTCTTATTCTTAGTTCCCTTTACTCGTTAATAATTTGTTTACCACTGAGTACTAATTGTTTTTCTTTAAGCAATTTTTGGCCAGTGGCCATTTTATTACACTGAGTACTAATTGATGTTCTAATCTTGATTTAATATAATATGAAAAAGTCAAAAGAATAATCTAGTTGCAACTTTTTAACAAAAAAATATACCAAAATAACTGTGAAAAGAGTGATTTTTGAGTTAAAAACTAAAGTTGAGTGACTTTCTAAGAAAATAGTTCATAGTTGAGTGACTTTCTGAGAAAATAGTTCATAGTTGAGTGACCATGAGATATTATCTCCGCATTGCTAGGGTCTGATTCTTGCTATGTGTGGTTGTCTGGTGGTTGTTCTTGGCTAGAAATGTTGTAAGTGCAGCTTTTATTATTAATTGATTCCTGCTGAATATTCTCTGGCAGTCTGGTGTTTCAAATTGACCAAAGTCATCTTCATTTTTTATAAATTAGGTATTGATGAATGACATAATATGCAAAAGTATTAGTAATAGTTTCAGACTATGCTCAGCATTTCATCTCTATGTAAATTAATACTAATAACGTTTTATTGCACCAAGGCCTACTTAATATATATATAATCCTTATGCAGTAAGTAAGTAAAATAATAATGTATGGCAGTTGATTCTCATTTGAAGGCTAACAGACAAATTGTTTGACCTTTCACCGTCTCGTGTTTCTGTTTTTCCTTTCCCCCTTAATATAATATGATAGCAGAGCATGTTGTGGTTTGAGTTCACACAGTAAGTCAAGATCAATATGTTGGTTGACACAGATTTATGACTTTTGTGCATTGAGGGGTTGGGTTGGCAATGCAGGTGAAATAACAGTATGTTTGACAATGAGATTAATCAAAAGACGGTTCTTGGCATTTGTGCCAACACATGGACATGGACTTCTTTTGACTTACAACTACAGTGTGGGAAGGATCTTTGTAGGGCTTCAAAACACTGCCTTCACAAATTGTATTCTACTCCCACAAAACACCTTTCGAATAATATAATACTTCTTCTGTCCCAATTTATATGACACATTTCAGATATCGAGATTCAAACAAGTCTATTTTTTATTATAAATTTTTCATATATTTTAAAATATTTTGAATTGTCAATTATTGTGATTTGTAATACTTTTTACGTAGTTTACAAATATATAAATTTCATTTTAAAAACTTTGAAAATTCCATAATCAAATTCTCGGTCAAACTTAGACTGTTTGATCCTCGAAAAATTAAATATATCACATAAATTGGGACAGAGGGAGTAATAAAATTTGTGATCAATAAGGACTGTGGTGGAGTGATAAGTACTTTTTCAGTCTTAACTCTTAACCACAAGTCTTAGGTTTGAATCCCCCTAATAGGAAATCGTCCGCTTTTGTTAGGGAGTGCAAGCAAATTAAGAGAGAAATTAAATTCAATATAGTCCGTGGCATTAGACTGACCTCAATATCTCTCCCTAATTTTTTCTCCATCTAAAACCAGAAAATTAAGCTCATTACTTTCACTTTATTTGAAGTTTATTTGGATGGACTTATAATTTATGACTTATAAAATAAAAAATAACGTTTGAGACTTTTTCTTTATGAAACATGAAATTTTTGTTTTAAAATTAAGTTTAATTAAAGTAGATCTGAGTGTTAAAATTTAAAGCACGAAAGTATTATTTTTTCACAAAACATTTAGCACGCATAATTGGAAATTTAGCTAATTTTTAACTTGTTCCAATCGTGTACGACCGATTTCCAGGCATACATGAAAAAAATTCACAGACATAGGATTGAAATCTTAATCAATTCTAACATGTGTTTCTGTCATGTATAATTAGAATCATGCATATATGAAAACATTTAAAAGGTGTCAAATAAGTTTATTACATTTATTATTGTTTTGACAAATTAACGATTGAAGTTTGTGATTTATGATATTTGAAACTTATGGTTCAATTTAAGCTTATTTAAAGTAGATTTGGATGTTAAACTGTTGAAATTTGAGGAACAATTTTTTTTTTAACAAAACACATTCAGACACACATAACTGGGATTTAAGATAATTTTTACATGAAGGAATCAAACACAATTTTTTAACCCCAGTTGTGTATATCTGAATTGTTTCCAAAACCGGTAATTTTTATTTTTTTTAAAGAAAACACAAAACTGACACAAGTTAAATAGCAACCTCAAAATAGAGTATTTGTGCATTTCTAACATTTATAAGCATCAGCCAAAATTCTAACTTATGACTTATTTTTATTATTTTAGTTTTAAAAAAAGCTTAATTTTTTTTATCTTATTCAAATATACTACGTATAGAAATATTTAAATATTTTAAAATAAGTCAAATTCAAACTGGCTTGCTCAAAAGTTTCTATATGTGCATGTATGAGTTTTGTGTATCAATCAATCAACAAAATTTGCTAAGTTTGGGCATCAGTTTTCACTATTCTATTCATCTTTTACTCATTGTAGGCTAGCTAGCCACTATAATTCCCACAAGCTATCTTCAAATCTTTTGACTATTTCACATTACTTTTAATTTATATTCCCTCCATTTTAATTTGATTATTCTATTTTAACTTGACATAGAGTTCAAGAAAATAGAAAAGACTTTTAAATTTTGTGATCTTAAATTAAAAATATGTAAAATATATTAAAATATCATCTAATCTTGTGATTTTAAACATGTCATGCAGAAAGATAAAATTAGAAAATTACCCCAAAAAAAAGATTGTAACAAATAGGACAAATAACTTAAAACAAATCGAGTAATTAAAAACTCTCCTCCTTTACCAAAAAAAACTAAATAAAATAAACCTAGTAAAAAGTAGTTAGAAACAAAAGGTTTATATAGATAATACGAACTTAATAAGATTTAAGAGTTGAGGTTCCAATTTCAAGATTTAATTTAAAATCTGAAAGGTTATACAACAAAGATAGATGAAAAGAGAAACACCAACAATTGGAATTTTAAGTGATCATTTTATTGAGGTTGCTCTTGGCTTAATATAGCCGTTCACTTAACAAAACAGAGAAATACTAGGCCAACAATAATACTAAGCAGTTAAGATAAAGATAAAATTAGAAACATCTAACAATCCTAGAAAATAGGACTTTATGCAACAATCCTTGACTAAATCAAAGGCAACAATCCTTAACCAACTCAAAGTTTTCAACATTCCCTCCCTTGAACTTATTCCTCTTGTCAAGAATCAGTTCAAATTTGAATCGGTGCACATGCCAAACTCTTCACGCAGTTTCTGAAATGCTTCCACTTTGAGAGGTTTTGTCAGTAGGTCTGCAAGTTGATCTTAAGTGCCGCAAAACAAAAAATTAATGACTCCTTCTCTAGCAAGATCCCTTAGGAAATGAAATCTTATTCTTATGTGCTTAGAACGACCATGTAAGACTGGATTCTTGGACAACTTAATAGTTGAGGCATTATCACACATTAGCTTTGTACCAGTCACCTGCACATGACCAATTTCTTTTAGAATCCTCCTCATCCAAATAGCTTGACAAGCACATGCAACGGCTGCAACAAACTCAACCTCTGTAGTTGACAAGGTGATGATAGGTTGCTTTCGAGATGACCAAGCTACTGCTCCTCCACTCATCATAAACACATAGCCTGAAGTACTCTTGCTATCTTCCATGTCACCAGCATAGTCACTATCAGTGAATCCAACCAGCTCACTAGCTGCTCCCCTTTTATAAAACACACCATAGTTCACCATACCTTTTAAGTACCTTAGTACCCTTTTTGCTGATGCAAAATGTAGTTGTGTTGGACACGCCATGAAATGACTAATAAGACTTACAACAAACATGAGATCAGGACGAGTGGCTGTGAGATACATCAGACTTCCCACTATCTGCTTGTATTGAGTTGCATCCACGTTTATGCCATCTTCATCTCTTCCAATCTTTTGTCCTGGAACAATAAGATTACAAATTGGATTGTAATTTTCTATTCCAAATCGGTTAAAACTTCCGCTGCATACTTCCTTTGGCATATGAAAACACCATTAGATCTTTGCATCACCTCAATTCCAAGAAAGAATCTAATCTGACCTAAGTCTGTCATATCAAACTCCTTTTTCATGGAACATTTAAATTCATCCAACAACTCTTCATCATCACTAGTAAACAAAAGATCATCAACATAAATACTCATAATGAGAATTTTACCTCCCTTTTTTTTAACAAAGAGTGTTTACTCACTGGAACTGCTTTCAAAATCTTCCTTGATGAAATAGGACTCTATTCGACTAAACCAAGCCCTAGGTGCCTGTTTTAGTCCATAAAGTGCTTTTTGTAGCTTATACATAAGCTGCTCACTTCCCTTTTTCTCATAACCTTTTGGTTGTTCTACAAAAACATCTTTCTTCAACTCCCCATATAGGAAAGCTAATGTGACATCTAATTGATACAACTTCCAACCCCTTTGAGCCGCAAAAGCTATGATCATTCTTACTGTATCCATGCTGGCCACAGGTGCAAAAACTTCAGTATAATCAATCCCATGTTCCTGAGCATAACCTTTAACCACCAATCTTGCTTTGTATTTGTCAACTTCACCAAGCTCATTTAGCTTGGTTTTATAAACCCATTTTACTTCTATTTTCTTTGCATCAGCAGGTAGTTCCATTAAGCACCAAGTTTGATTTCTTTCAATGGATTTGATTTCTTCATCCATGGCCAGTTTCCATTGTGGACTTTTGACAGCTTCCTCAAAGCTTGTAGGATCTGATATCATCAACAGGGCCATGTTTGCTTCATCTTCTTCAGACAAACCTTCGCCGGAAGTATAATCTGCCGACCACACATGTGGACGTCAATTTCTGCTTTCCTTTACTATCATGTCTGGTGCAACAGCTGACGAATTATTTCCAGTTGGTGAATTAATGTCAACTTCTGTGACTTCTCCTTCTTGAGTTGTGTTCTCTTTTCAATGTTGTCTCCCCAATCTAATTCAGTTAGTTGTTCTTCTTCAGAAATTGCATTCTAGTCCCACATACGATCTTCTTCAAAAATTACATCACTACTAACTATAATTCTTTTGGCAACTGGATCAAACATTATGTACCCTTTGGATTCACCACTAACCCCAAATAGAACACAACTCACACTTTTTTCTTCAAGTTTGGTTCTCCTAGCATCTGGAATGTGAACATGTCCCACACATCTAAACACTCGAAAATAATCAATTGATGGCTTCTCTCCACTCCATGCCTCTTCTGGGGTCATATCTTTTACAACTAGAGTAGGTGATCGATTTAAGACGTGAATCGTCCACCTAACTTCCTCAGGCCAAAAAATCCTAGACACTTTCTTTTCTGTCAACATAGCTCTCACCAAGTTCATTACTGTATGATTCTTGCACTCAGCTACTCCGTTTTGCTGTGGAGTATAAGTTGTGGTCAATTGTCTCTTCACTCCATGTTGTTTGCAAAAATCATTGAATTCCGCAGAATTGAATTCTCCTCCTCTATCTGTTCTTAAGCATTTAATAGGCATCCCAATTTCCTTTTCCACAAGTGCTTTGAAACATTTAATTAAAGTGATAAATGTTTCTGATTTTTCCAAAAGAAAATAAGTCCATGCTTTCCTGGAAAAATCATCTATAAAACACAATAAGTACCTCTTCTGACTGCTTGATGCTGGAGTAATAGGACCACAAAGATCCGCATGAACTAGACCCAATCTTTCAGTTGCTCTCCACTGACTCCTTTTACAAATTGGAGTCCGATGTTGCTTGCCTTTCATGCATGCCTCGCAAGTGGCACTTGGTGCTACAATTTGTGGCAAACCCTTCACCATCTCAAAGTGCGCAAGACTTTGTAACTAAGATGGCCATAACGATAGTGCCAAAGAGTCAACTAATTTGTATTGTTGATTTGGAGACATCTTGCCTCAATATTTGTGGATGAGGGCTCAACAAGCAAAATAAACATTCGATTTGCATTCATAATGGATTCTGCCATCTTTCCTCTTTGTGGATGATGAACATTGCACACACCATCCTTAAATAACACAACTAATCCTTTTTCTTGAAGCTGCCCAATGCTCAAGAGATTATTTGTAAGCTCAGGAACCCAATACACATTACCAATGGAATAACAAACTCCCTGCAAGAATAATTTCACAATCCCCTTTTCCAGTGACCCTCATTCTTGTATTATTTCCAAGCTTGACAATGTAAGAGAAAGTTGTGTCCAAGCTTGAAAACAAATCCTGATTTCCACACATGTGATTTGAACATCCAGAATCCAAGAACCATGCATCGCTCCTTTTGGCTTCATGTAGTTCTGCATAGGACATTAACAACATCTCATCTTCTTCTTCCAATTCTGCGTAATTTGCTTCCTTATACAACTTTGGACATTCGTACTAAAAAATTCCCAAGTCATGACATTTGTAACGTTCAACAGTTGCTTTGTTGAAAGTTGTTCTTCCTCTTCCATGTCCCCTTCCCCGGTAGGGTGCTCTCCCTCTATTGCTTGTTCCTGAATGACCTTCTACTTTGAGAACTTGATCCTCATTATCATTGCTTGGTCGATGGAATTTTTGTTCATGCACCACTAATGAACTATGTAATTCATCGATAGACATGTTGTCAGTATCTTTTGATCCTTCGATGGATACTACAACATATGTGAACTTGTCAGTTAGAGTTCGTAAAAATTTTTCAACCATTTTCCTGTCAGGCATATCTTCTCCATTACTTCTCATCTTATTTGAGACCATCATCACTCTTGCGAAATACTCAGTGATGGTTTCATTCCTCTTCATTGCTAAAACCTCAAACTCTCTTCTTAAAGAGTTAAGAAGAGATTTCTGCACCTTCAAATTTCCTCCAAATTTCCGCTTCATTGAGTCCCAAACGATCTTGGCTGTGTGACGATCCAAGATTTGTTCAAAAATAGTTCGATCAATTGCTTGCAACAGATAATGCTTGACTTGATGATCCTTGATTCTAGCATCCTCGAGTTGTGCTTGTTGTGTTTCAATTAGTCTCGTCCCTTCTCTTGGCTCTTCAAAACCAATCTCCACCAAACTCCATAGACCTTTTGCCCTAAACAGATTTTTCATCAGTTCACTCCAGTGGTCATAGTACCATCAAAGTGAGGGATCTTTGTGAGAGTCTTGTCCTCGCTCATTCTCTCTCAGTTTTTCTGATCACTCAAAGATTGCTACTTCTTTTCTACGAACCCAGTGGGGGCTCTGATACCAATTGAAAGGTTATACAACAAAGATAGATGAAAAGAGAAACACCAACAATTGGAATTTTAAGTGATCATTTTATTGAGGTTGCTCTTGGCTTAATATAACCGTTCACTTAACAAAACAGAGAAATACCAGGCAAACAATAATACTAAGTAGTTAAGATAAAGATAAAATCAGAAACATCTAACAATCCTAGAAAATAGGACTTCATGCAACAGTCTTTGACTAAATCAAAGGCAACAGTCCTTAACCAACTCAAAGTTTTCAACAAAATCAACATCTGTTTATGAAATATGCACAAAATTTTAATTTGAAATCATGATTTAAATCTCAAGTTCTTCAAAAATTAGAATTTTAAATTTCAAACTGTGATTTTGATTTCTTTAAAATGTAAACTTGACAAATATATTTATATTTTGTAAAAAAAATACCCATCATTTTAAATTTTGTAAAAAAAGATTCATATTTAATGTGAATACATTGTTTGTATCATATGGAAGAATTATATTAAAGAATAATGAGTTACTATTATTGTTGATTTTTGGATCAATAAATATTTGTAAAATTATGTGTATTTGAAAATTTGTAATAACATGTAATCATGATCGAGCAATCATTTATGAAAGAAACATGAAGATACATGACTTATTAATGTGACATCTTACGATATTATGATACCTTATTTATGAACGATAGTTTGCTCATTTGATAAGATTTTAGAAGAATGATTTTTTTAAAAGTAATTTTCACAAATTATGAAGATTTTCATGTTTACGAAAAGATATATATTATTTAGAAAAATTCAAATAACATTTCCAAATTAAAAAAAAAATCAAACTAATTTAATTATAATTTGTATCATGTCCAAAGGACCCTTATGCATGTTGATTCTTCTACATTCGATCCACTATTTATAAGGAGGCGTTGTGGTCGGACTATTTCACTCTTACCTATAAGTTTTGAGTTCGAACCATTGGTATAGAGAAAATTCTATTGGAGTGTCACCCTCAAATAGATCATGCAATATGCTATTTGAATTTAATCGGAGCTCTAATATAAACTATGAACTTCGGACACTAGATAGAAAATTAATAAAATAGAAAAAAACACAAGAACTTTATATTATACTCCCTCTATCCCATTTTATGTAAGGTAGTTTGATTCGGCACGTAGTTTAAGAAAGAAATGAAGACTTTTAAAACTTGTGGTTCAAAATGAATGATAGAAATTTGTATGACTGTAAATCATTTCATTAAGGATAAAATAGATATTTTATAGTTAAATTGTTACTTAATATAAAAATGTGTTATTCTTTTTGGAACTGACAAAAAAAGAAAGTAAGTCACATAAATTGAAACAGAGGGAGTATGTAATTAGAAGATGTTGTAATGGGTGGGCATGTGCAAAAATTGAGCTTCCATATGTATTGTATATGAAAATGCAATGATGGCATGGCATACCCCAAAAGAGAGAGAGCAAAATACTACTAATATTATAGAGAGAACGTGCACGCATAACGAGGCTGATTTTGTCCTCTCATTCGCCCTTTTTTTTGAGGCTCTGTGTTTTGTTTTGTCAGTTTGTAAAACTTGACGCGGTTTACGTCTCAAATCAAATGTTATTATAAACCAAAATGACAAAAATAAAGCTCTTTGACTTTTGACTTCAATATATATACTGCTCAAAACAGTTTCACAAACTTACAAATTTTACTATTGTTTTTATATGAGATTAGCTCACCTCACACAAGTTTTATTTATTTTATTACTTAATTACACAACTTATTTTATTATATTTATTTTTAAAATTTTTTCTATCATTTGAAAAAATTACAAAAAATTCTATCTCTTCTATTCTTGGAAACATCACTCTTATGCAATGTATCAGGACCTCAAAACAAAGGTAAAATATGAGGATGCGATATATCATACATTGAGTGATGTATCCGAACAGTAACATAGTCAATTTTTTTATTAAGGATGTCCAAGAATAATGATGTGTGGCTGTCCAAAAAAAATATTACGCTATTTGACGTTCGAACCCAAAACACCTTCCTTCAAATGGACACTCATTACCACTGCTCTAAAGACATACCTTTTGTCAAGGATATACAACGTAATTTTCCGACGAAGGGCATACAGTTAGACACCTGGAGTGACTTTAGCTACACCCCTGTATTCGAAATGGAATGCAATGTAGTGGAAGGTTGATCGATATATCCAAAATCGGAATGCGATGTATCGGAACATTGAGTGATGTATTAGAAATCCTTAAATTTTAAGGAATTTTTTTAATATGAAAAAAATTGAAATAAGATGTAATTAGTTCTTAAAACACTATGAAACGTGTGTAAAATTTATAACAAGAAATTTAATTAAAATTATTCTTTTCTTTTAAAAGAATTTCTACTATGAGGCTAGAAGCACGTCTTGGACAACATGTCTGCTTCTAGCCATTAGAATTATATTTAAGGGTAATTTGGTTGCCTCAAATTATTATTTTTTGGGTGCTTTAACCGGCCGCAATCATCGCTGAGTGTTCTCATATTGCCTTTGATTCTTTCAATTTCTAGAGGAGTTGCTTTGTCAACCGATATATTGGCTCTTTCATCTCTACGCTCCCAATTAATATACATACATAATTTGTTGCTATCAAAATAATTACAAGAAAGTTAATAGCAAATTTCTTAAAAATTATAATTTTTTTATGATGTAAGTTTGGTCAATTAACCTACATATAATAATATTAATATAAAAAATATTCTAAAGGCATTGAGAGAATAACTCTTGCCTCAAATTAAATTTGTGATTGTGAATGTTATTGTGTTGTGTTTGACACGAGAAAAACTTCTATTTATAAAAGTCCAAAACTTTTGTTCAAGAAATGATAGATATAAAAGAATCTTTTTCTACCAAATAAACTTTTTTAAAAAAAGTAAAACACAATTATGAGGTAGAATTTAATTAAGATAGTAAATTTATGCTAACCGTAACACAATTTAATTGTGTTTTTAATTCTTTTTTTGGTTCATTTCATTTATGCTACTATATCTAAGTTTTCTTGAATTCTAAGGCAATATTATGTTACATTTCAATTAAAGGGAAAAATAAAAATAAAAAGACCAAGCATTCTTCTTTTTTTTCTCATTTAAATTTAAAATTTTAAATCGTTCACACTTTTGAGGTTCATTTCAAGTGCATTCCGAATGTTAAGAAGAATAAAGACCTTTTTCAAACTAGAGCCAAATTAATTTCTTCTATCTAAGGACAAAAATAAATGTTTAAAGAATCTTTAATAAAAATAATGTAAAGTTGTATCTAATTAATTTATTTCATCATCACATGACTAGATACTAGTAGAGTAGTCGGTAGCTCAAACATTATCAATTAAACTTATCCTTTTTAAATTAATAATGGTGAATATTCTAAGTAGATGATAACTAGATTGACCACTACAAAGAATCGAAATTGAAATTAAAAAACATAACATAAAGAGGTCACACCTAGTCCAAATAATCAAAATTAATTTTCCACAAAATCTTATATATTCCATTAAAATCTTGGAAATGATTTGTTTTTAATTTTAAACTAAGAGTTGTAAGAATAAGGTGGTGTCTGTCTAGAATCTAAAGTCTACAAATTAAAAAAAAATTCTTTTTAAAATATGACATTATATGTCCTTTATATAACCGTCCAATAGAAGAATGATACTAATTAACGATTATCTAGAAGAGAATCACCAAGTGCACTCTTCAAAATAATGGCAAACATAACAACTTTTGCACTAAATTAATTTCATATAACATGCTCCATTCAATGAATCAAGAACTCCAACATTTAATTTTCTACTATGAAGAAAAATTGCAATATAAAGAAAAAAGACATGTTATTTTTAAGGGATATTTTAAACGAACATGTTTGAAAGATTGAAATCATGTTAAGGTCTTAGACATAGTCCTTAGTCCATGTGACGATATTTGCCTAAATATAGAGTTTTAAATTATTTTTGCAACTTTTAATTTAAACTAAGCTGTAAATATTTGTATGACTATTAAGATATAAATAATATTATCAAAGATAAATTTGCAAATTCACAGTTAAATAAGAAAGTATGAAATATAAGTGGGGATAGTTGGAGTAGTATTTTGTAATGTCCCATTTTTTGTGAATTTTTTTATAATTGTGAATTGACTATTTTTCCCTTCTCCTTAGTGATTTCATGTTTAGTTTGTGTTGCGGGATTGGTTGGTGTGGTCCTCGATGCGATCAGGTGTATTTTTAGTGATTTTGACCCTTTTGAGTTGAGAATTCTTGGTATGGTTGACTTTGGTCAATATTTTGAGTTTTGACCATCGGATGGGAATTCTGTTAGTTTCATCGCGTTAGAAAAGTTGAGTTTGATCTAGTAAGGTGGTTGGTTAGGTTTCCGAGACCTTAGTTTGAGTTTCAGACATTTGGGCCAAAAGTTGTGTTATAAGCCTTAAGAATGGTTCGAGAGGGTAATTCTGTCATTCGACCTCTTTTCGAAAAGCTGACGATTCCATTGAGTCAGGATGTGAAATTTGGTGGGGTAGCATGTCCACTTTATTTTTATTGGAACTCCAAACAATTTTCGAGGATCCATTTTGAGGCATTAATTTTTCTTGTGTAGAGTTATGGGTTTTTCAGTTCTGGTGGAGGTCATTTTGACCTTCACGATCGCGACCCTTAGGTTCGAGATCACGAATTTTCTTCTCCGTGGTGTTCATGATCGCGGCTCATAGGCTTGCGTTCGCGATGAAGCCCTTTCCTTAGCCTTCACGGTTACGGACTGGGCCCTCACAATTGCGATGTGAACCTCTGTTCACTTTGTGATCAAGAGAGTTA